CTAGTAGAATTATTTTTTGGACACACTAGTTAAAAGATCCTCAAAGTGTTCATAAGTCGATAAAATGAGGGGGAAAAACAACAACCAAGGGAAACAAAACAACCCCAACCTTCGCAGAGGTACAGATGTGATAAGTATATACATGAATTATACAATTATCAGAAATGTCCTTAGACAAATAGATTAAAAAACATTTTAAAATGCTTGCAGAAATTGGGTTGAGTTTAAGCAAATGGAAATAGTTTAAGGCAAATTGTCATTGGGCAAGTGGTCAGTTATAGCTGATGGACTCCAGGCCCTAGATTGTGGAGGGCAGAGAGGCCCCCAGACAAGCAGAGGGGCCCGGTGTGAACGTCAGGAGAGTGTTCATCAGAAATGAGCTCTAAAGGATGTTGGCCTGGGTGCCCAGCTCCCCTAGACCACAGAATACTTGGTCCTTCTTCCAGATGGTGCCACAGGCTAGACAGAAAAGTCAAGGAGCAAGCTCCCTCTCAGCCTTTGGAGAATCCAGACAAATCCAGTTTGAATCAAAAAATGGATGGAGGCTGATATACTCCATTCTTCACTCCCCAACCCCTACCTGTCCCATCAGCCAAAAATAGGATCCTATCAAGGAAAGAGCGGATGGATGGGGCTCTGTCTCAACCTCACCTAATGATAGCTTACACTCGTGGAGTGCTCACTAGGCCAGGCACCAGAAGAAACTATGGATATTTTCAGGAGACATAATTTGCTTAAACCCAGACGTCTCCTGGGAAAGGAGTCAAGACCCTGACTCTTGAAACTGATGGGGTGGGACAGGCCACCGATGAGCAAGTCCTAAGAGCAGGGCAGGGTTAGAAGGGTGTCCAGTCTTCATCCTTAATTGAACTTTTCAGCCTTTGCCTTTGTTGTAGTTGCCTTCTAGTGCTTTTAGCTGGGGTTAACAGGAACAAAAGGCCTGCATTTTTAAGGCCTGCAAAACTTCATGCTAAGCCTTTTGTGTATGTGATCTCATTTAATACTCCAAAATAACCTCATGAGGAAGGCATTATTATCATTTATAACTGATAAAACTGAGGCTTGGAGCAATGAAGTTTCCTGCTCAAGATCACTTAGCAGTTATGCAGCACAAATAAGTGTGAGGACCCCAAAGCCCAGCTCACAGCACTCTCAACCCCAGTACATTGGCTCTATTACATTCATTATATTTTGTATTCCTCTTGTTTATCCCCTCATCTATTTTCTTTCCGAATTGGTTCAATGTTGAAACCATGACTCATTTACAAGTAGTTCAAGTTACTGTGACAATGGCCACTGAAGAGATCCACAAGACATGGCAGCATGGCATGCAGGATAGGTGTGCAGGCCTCGGCCTCAGACTACCTGGGTTCAATTTTCTGGCTCTGTCATTTGTCTGTGTGACCCTGAACAAATTGTTTAACTTCTGTGTGCCTCAGTGTCCCCATCTGTACAGTGGAAAATTATTATACGGATTAAATAAGCTATTCCAGGTTAAAGGTTTTACGCTCAGCAAGAACTCTATGTTCCTTAGCTGCTGTGGTACTGTTTTTGTTGTCAGTTAATCACACCTCTTCTACCTGCCTCACAGGGTGGAATCCCAGAAAGAAAAATGCTGTGGTGCACAGAACGCTTTGTTAGGAGCCAGGAATTTTGAGCTCTGAATCCTATTCTGCCTATAACTCACTGTGTGGGCTCAGAGACTTCACCTCCTTACCCCCAGCCCATTTCAACTACAGCAATTTTTCCATGTTCCTTTATGGTAAATGTAACTGATAATAACAATATTTACTGAGCATAGGTGGGCCAGATTTATTTGCCTGATCTCTTAATGTTTGTAGGCACACTACTGGGTAAACTTTTTTGTTATCTTCATTTTACAAAGTAGGAATTTGATGCTAAGAAGGGTTAAGGAAGGTGTCCAGAAAAAAGCCAAGTTGAGATATGAACTCCTGTCCTTGCACTTCACAGCTATGCTTGAGCGAAGTTATGTTAAAGTCGTGATGGATCCTGTTTAGGGCCAGCTAGTCACCACTCTGGGACAGGGAGTAGGGACAGAGAACCCCAGCATTCCTTCCCAACACTGGTGTCAGACAGAACTGTCCATTCTTGAACAGAAGAGAAATAAGTGACCTCAAAAGAGCACTTTATTGCCTTGGAGGTCAAACTACCCCAACAAAAGACCCAGTTGACCCAGGGAATTTTGTCTCATCAGGTAACAGGAATTGTTTTTAGTGGGAAGAATGAGCTCATTATGGATGCAGCTTGTGCTAATAATGATAATTTGCCAAGCAGTAAAATCACCTCTCTACCTCCCTCGCCAACAGACGACACTCCAGAAATTATAGGCTAGAGAGAAACAGAAAGGATAAAGATTAAGGAAGAGAATTGCAATGCAGAACTGCTTAAACAAAAGGAGTTGAAATTTGAACATTGAACTTGGTGATCTTAATCATGAATTGCAGAAGAATAATATACTATTAAAGAATTTTTTAAAATTGCCTTTATAATTTTGTTACTCTGTCACCAGGCCCTTTTTTATTTTGTTTTTGTTTCAGTTTAACAGCTTAAGTCATTTCTTAAAAGTTGATGCAAAATGAATTAGTCAATGGCTTAAATATTGATGCACAGTGCAATCCCATGGATGACAATAGGATGAGGGCAGTTGCAAGAAGTCATTTCAGTCCTAGCACCCCCTTAATCTTATGGGCAAACACCCCAATAACATTGAGTTCTGGGCAACCATCTGCAAATTCTGCAGGTTTGAGAGAGGGGCCAGGCAGACATGCATTCCGTGTTGCTCATCCTGACGCCAGAGGAGATGCAGCACACCCCCCACAGGGGTGAGATGTTTCTCCCTGTTTCTTTCTGGAATTGTGGGGTCACTCATCCAGGGTTTTAGGAGCACTAGAGAAAATCCCAACTATTCACCGAGCTTTGCCTCATCCCTTTGAAGAGAATGCCAGCCACCTTCTATTGAGCTGTGGCCTTTTTTCTTAAAACATATAATTTCTAAACTATTAAAATATTTTTTAACCAATTCAAATAAGAACTTTTTTAAATGATGTTTTTTTCCTGATTATGAAAGCAATACTTACTGGCTATAGAAAACTGGAAAAAATACAAACAAGAAAATACAAATGACCAATTGCACCATCTTCTAAATGACCAGTGCTAGCATTATAGGTTAGCGGCCCCATTTTTTAAAACAAAAAAACAGAATTATAGTGTGTGTGTGTTTGTGTGTACATGTGATAAACGTTTGGTGCTATTGTACAGTTTTTTGGCCTGACTTTTTCATGTAATGTATCCTATTTTTCTACAACAGTATTCTTCCAACATGTCATTTTTTAATAATGAGATGTACCATAATCCTAAATCCTGTGAGAGGGAATTATTGTTTGGTTTTGTATGACAATTAACCTCCACACACATCCCTGGTTGTTTTTCTGGACAAGGTTCTTAATCATTTCTGTACTGGGAACCCTTTGGCCATCTGGTGAAAACTCAGAATAATGTTTTCGAATACATAAAGTAAAATGCCTAAGATTACAAAGGAAACCAAACTGAAATTAAAATACTAAAAAGAACAAATTTATGAAATAGCCATTTAAGTGTTCATTTATTTATTGAAGAACAATATGTTAGAGAGTAGATATAAGGGCTCTAATGACCATGGTAATTATAAAATAGTGATGAACTTGAACATGATTTCAGCTGTTTGCAGCACCTGTCATGTGATATAGAGAGATCTGTGACTGCTAGCAGGCTAAAGTGACAGGTTCTGCTATGATTCATGGCTTAAATTCAGAAATGAAGGACATGCTAAATTTTGCTTGGAGGCTAGTGAAAACAAACGTGTAACTTTTTTTCATCAGAGTTCTCCAGTCTCCTGATTTCTACCCATGGAAGCTTAGGAGTCTAGAGAGCCCAGGTAAAAATTCTTGCCTTGGGAAAAATTCCAGGAGTAGCTCCTTGCCTCTTTTGGCTTTGTACATTTTTTAGCCTTCGGATTTCAATGGCCTTGTTGTCCCAGGAGTTATTTTTTAAATTCTCCCGAGTGCTGATGGCTGCCAAGGGAGGTCAGAGTGTCTTTCAGGGCCAAGAGGATATTATCCAGTGTAACAGGGTTAAACTGTGTCCCCTGAAAAAAGACATGTTAAAGTATTGGTCTCCACTACCTCAGTATGTGACTTATTTGGAAATATGGTCATTGCATGTGTGATTAGTTAAAATGAAGTCTCAGTGGAATAGAATGGGCTCCAAATCCAAACTGAGTGGTGTCCTTCTTGTAAGAGAATGGTTGTGTGAAAACACACACAGGGAGACTGGAATTATGCAGTAATAAATGTCAAAACTGATGCAAATCATCACCAGCTAAGAAGAAGCAAGGAAGATGTGGCCTTGCTAACACCCAAGTCTTGGACTTACAGCGTCCAGAACTGTGAGGCAACGAGTTTATGTTGTCTTAAGTCACACAGTTTGTGATACTTCGTTACGGCAGCCCCAGCGAACTAATAATGCTGGTGGCTGTCAGCCAGGCTCTCCTGCAGACTAAGATTCCCAAAAGCAAGGCTGGAGTAGGTGTGGCAACTGCACCAGTGCTGGGGACATGCCACACCAGGACCCAGTTTGGCAGATGAGAATCAACTGGTTAGAGGGCTGGGCTAGGTCTTCAATGAAGAACCTGGTTGCACAATGTTACCTAGAAGTCACTGGGGGCAGGGGTTACGAGTAGATGGTCTCACCCTGGCTTAAGGTCAATATAACCAGGAAAAAAACTTGCACAAAAACATTTAGCATGCTAAGAAGTGTCCCCTTTCTTCCCACATGACCCTAAACTGTCTTTATCATTAATGACACATTAATGCCAACTGCTCATGATACAGGCACCAGTTAAAGAATTCTTGTTATTAAATATCCTTATTGTCCATTCGGATGTGGATAGGGGACTGATTCTGATGCCAGAATGGCAGATTTTTGAGTCCCCCTTAAGTTCACCTCTCCTTGGGAGACTCTATGCTTCTAGCCTTCTGCATACTTTGCTGAGGACAGTGGCTCTAGATAAATCTTCCCATTGCATGACATATTTGGCCTCTGGGTGCAATCATACATCACTGGAGCTCTCTCAATGGGGTCCTGTCTCAGGGGTCTCCTAAGGGCAGGGCAGCTTCCACCTGAAAGAAAAGTCATCCGCATGAGTTGTCGGCAGGTGGCCCAGCTAAGGAGAAAAGCCACTGCAAATATTCCATCCCATTTTTTAAAAATTGTAGGAAGGGAAGAAAGAGTCCTCCCTTACCTGCAATAGAGAAATCTGGATATTTTGGCAATAGCCCTTCGTGCTGCAAAACTTTTGAAGAAGGAGCCAGAGGTGGTGTGGAGTTGAGTTCATATATTCTAAAATAAGAACAGAAGTCATCAAGTTGCTCCTTTTATTAAAGAATAAATGCAATATATGCAGGTCGTGTATAAACATGCTATGTTCATTTCTAGTCCTTATAGTTTATCCTAAAGGTAAGGATCATCATATCCTTTTTACAGAAGAGAAAGCTGAGGCCACAGAAGCCCTCCCATGCAGTGCCATGGTATCCCCTGCCTTCTTGCTTCCTTAGCACCCTTGGGCCTCAGGCTGCTGCCAGGTGGCCCCGTGGGTTTTTACTCCCAATTTCTCCCTGCCAGCCAGCAAAGACCCCAAGTAGGGATGCTGGGGCCTGCTGAGCACAGATGGGCAGTGGAGGGCAGCTGCCTACTTAAAGGCCCTGCAACTACAAATGAGGCATCTTCATAAGACAAACCACACACAGAAGCAGTCCTGCTGCTGGGATGGGGGCATCTGGTAAACCCCTGGCCTGGGTCTGCCCTTCTGCCTTGATCTTGTGCCCGGGGTTATTTCCTGAGCCAGACTCACTCCTCATATGGTTTTAGACGTGCTCTCTTGGCCCGCTCCACGATGTCCAGGAAGTCCTTGTAGCAGTTTCTGGCCATGACAGTGTACCTTGTAGCACAGCCAAATTCAGTGACCCTGGCTCTTGGGAGGTAGCCTGCCCAGCCAGGGATTGGGGGCTCCTGGAGTGGTTTCTTCACATATTTGCATTCTGTAAAAGACACCAGGCTTCCTGAAGGCTTTGGAAAGCCACATAGTGGGGAGTTAGCTGGCACCCCAACAGTTAACCCAGGGTGAGCCCCAGTCATATAGGTGTGCTAAGGGCAACCACCACTGGTTGGGTGATTCAGTGTGCGAGGCACGTTGGTAAGAGCTTTACAAATAGTATCTAATTTAATTCTCTCACAGACTCTAAGAGGTTAGAACCATTATTACCTCCACCATATGGTGGAGGAGACTGAGACCTTAAAGAGGTTGAGAGCCTTGGCCAAGGTCACATAGCCAGGAAGTGATGAAACACAGAATCAAACCTGGCTCTGTCTTGCTCTTAAACAGATCCTTGCTTCTGTCTCAGGCTAATCAAAAAGCTTCAGATATCCCTCTGTGACTGTGCACATTAGGAAGAGAATCAAGAGAAGCATCCAAGTTAGGAGAAAACACATCAGCCTCAGCACCAGGGACCAGCCTTCAGGACTGACTCTGGCTGGCTGGGTGACCTTGGGCAGGCTTCACTGTCCCAACTGCCTCCTCCACTTGCTAAGAGCTGGAAGGCACCCTTGGGAGCATGTAGTCCATCCTTCCCTGCCCTAGATGAAGAAACTGGAACCCAGAGAGAGGAAATGAGCTGCCCAAGATCACACAGCCAGAATTCACAGAGTTAAGCTAAATCCCAAACTCTTAGGCAGATATTCCTTGTCATGCTTGGAAAATTTAAAACACAGCAAACATGTCAATTATCACGTATTCTTGAAAAGTCCTCAAACAATTATAAATAAAGTCACAATAATAAAGTCAATCAAGCCATTAATTTTCTTGTAGGACTTTAGACCTTAAAAATAATATAGGTCAACTCATTGTTATAATTCTTATGATTCCTTGTCATTGGTTGTTGTTGTTCAGTATGAAGCCCCTTCCCACCAAACTAGTACCTGGAAGAGCTGAACTCAAAGCCAGGTCTGACCTCAGAGCTCATGCACTGACCTCTGCCAAGAGACACCACCTCTCGAAGCCTCACTTCTCCTATCTCTGAGATGGGAATAAGTCTGGGCCACATAGGACTATTAGAATAGTTAGTAAAATTAGGGTGCCCAGCACAGAGAAAGCAAATAAAACATGGTATCTACCGATCTAGAAGCTGAGGCCTGAAAATCTGTGACTTGCCGAGGGTCTCTTAGCTCTTAGGCTAGCATCCTCTTCCCTGACCAGGACTATGACCCTCTCCCCTAGAAATGCATCTGTGTCATTTAAAGAAACTGAGCGTTTCCCTTTTGCACTGACTCCTGGGGATTTGGAACTGTGCTGGATTCTGTGTGCTCTGTGGCAGCTCAGCTGGCCTGTGAGGATCTGCACTTGGGACTCGAGGTGAGGGAAGATGATTTCAGGGTGTTGGTACCCAGAGTCATGGGGTGGTACTGCCGGTAGTACTGGTGCAGCGCCCGCAGGACCGTCTCCTCGGAGCTGACGGGCTTCAGTTTCGGGGCAGTAGCCACTGTGCAGCGAAACTCCTCCAGCTGGTCTTTGTAGCGTTGTGTGCTCTCCTGGAAGGTTTTCAGACAGTGGTTCATGTCATCCTCATTGGAGGTTCCCTGGCAGCTGAGGAATGGCACAAAGCCTGCAAGAGCCGATAGAGTCACAGCATTCAGCAAGGCAGCCCAACAAGGAATTCAGAGCAGTCCAAGCTCCCCAGAATTTCAACCCATCACTTGGCATTTCTTGCACAGCCAACAACACTGCATTTTACCAAAGGCCATTAATGCAAACAGTGCTGTTGTTTCCACTGGGGCTGGGCCCTCCCAGAGCCACAAAAAATGACCTTGAAGCTGGGAAGGGAAGGCCTGTTTCAACAAAAACGATGACAGTAATATTCTTTGATAGCAAAGCCTCTGATGTCAGCCTGAACATAAAATGGGGAAAGCACTTAATGGGCCAAAATGATAGTCTGAGGAGTAATTGAAATTATTCATCTTTTTAGAGAGAAAGCTTATTTTCCTCGACACTTCCCAAATGCAATTTGGGATCTTTCTTGCCGGACCATCGGGAAATTGCAGGCTTATTAAAAGCAGAGACCTATCACACAAAAAGTAAATTCATTATCTACAAGACCCACCCCTAAACAATTTTTCACCATTTCCCACCAAATAACATATAATCATTACAATTAGTATGGGTAAAACACAACTATTTATTTAAACTGGATGCTGAATCCTAAGTACTATAATATTGTCACAATAAGGCCATTTTTTAAAAGAACAAATGGGGAAAACTGGTTAAGAACTTGGTTTTAACCTGCAAAATATATAAATAAATCTCTCTCAAGATTGAAGCCCAACATTTTGACCTTTGTCCCCAGGAAACAAAGCCTGGCTTCAGAGATGAAAGCAAAACCCTTACTCCCTGAGCTCTTCTCTGGAAGAATGTAATAACTAGACTGCTCTTGACAGTGCTGGACAGTCTTCTTTTAGGGGATGCAGAAAGGAATGGGACCTTAAGAACAACTTTTGTGGGAGACTTGAGAAAACCCACCTTGGAAGGACAGGCCCCCAGATGATGTCTATGCTCTTTGCATCGTGTCTGTTCTGGTCTAAATTCATTCAACAAGCATTAAGTGTTTTCCGCATTCCAGGCCGAGTCCTGGAAGATTTGGCCTAAGTTCTGTCTCTCCATTTATCAGAACCCAGCTCTCAAACTGCTCTTTTCCTCAATGGAGTGCTCTCAATGCTTGTCTTAAAGCTAGAGCACCTATTACCGGCCCAGTCAGCTGAACAGACGTGGATGTTGGTCAAGGCAGGGACAAGACAGGACCAGAACTCCTCTGCAGGGTGTGTTCACACTTACCACTGTAGCCTGCTGTGATTGGCAGGTTTCTCATGAAGGTCTTAGAAGACTCCATGATTTCTCTTTCTGTTAATGAAGAGGGAATGAAATGGTCTCATCAAAAGTCCTGATTCAAGAACTTACTGCACATGTATGTGAGTCTTTGGGAGTAGAAGAATAACCTTTTCAGGGGCTGAGACTTAGCGGTATCTTACCCAAAACCAGTGGATATAACTGGCTTCAGTTATCAACCAATGGCCTAGTACATTGCCTTTTACATTAACTTAGATAACAGGTGTGCACATCACCATCCACCAGTGTCTCCCCTCCCTGGAGGTCCCCTTCCCTCCATCCATCCAAACTTCCATTCTTCCATCCATTCACTTGTCCAATAGTCATGAACTATACACATACTGTGGCCATAAACTGTAACAGAGTTGAGAATATAAAACTGAGCAAGACCCAGAGGCCCCTGTGTAAGGCTCACGAGTCTTGGGGGAAGGGAAAGATGAGGAACCCACACCCTCATAGTTCCTTCTTATCCAGGTGAAATCAGACTGCAGGGGTGAATTATTTCAGCCCCCACTATCACCCTTGAAACATCTTGCAGTGTCTGGGGATTTTTTTGGTTGTCACAACTGGGGGATGGAATGACCAGGACGATGCTAAAACTAAGCACCCTGTAATGCACAGGAGGGCACTCCACAACAAAGAGTTAGAGTCAGTCCTGGCTTGAAGGGATTAAGAAGTTCCAAAAGGGCTGACGCGAAGTCTAAGGTAGGTGAGCAGAGGGTTGGGTGGTGGGGGGGTTGTCCATTGCAGCATCAGTATATGTGAATGCTGCCTCTGGAGCAAGACTCCTTCCCTCTTGGGCAGCACTGAAAGTCCCCCCAAATGGGCAAGGCCTTGCCAAGTCCTACCCTGCCAAGCTGGCTCATTTCTTTAAAGTGATTCCCTGGAGACCAGGACAAAGGGATTCAGGGTGAAGGGGAAGGACACAGTCATGGGTTGGTGAGCCACAATGGGAATTGCTAAGACAGTTCGGCTCCCACAAGGCTGAGAGCAGTGAGGACTGGATCACATCTAGGTGAGTCTAAGCCCTGGCAGCGCGGGTCCGGCTTCTGAGAAGAGGGGCTGGTCCTGGAGACAGACAGAACTGGGTGTGAATCTTTGTCCCATGCATACCACCCACCTGCTTACCAAGAATTGTTCTAGAAGCTTTACATGTGTAAAACTGTTTAATCCCCTCAACAGCTCCATGACATGTGGGGGGGGGGTTGCAAAAAAACTGGAATTTACTTATTTTAAACTGTGTATATATTCTGACATATTTCAACTTCAGTCACCTTCAAAATACTCACTGTTTGATGCAATACACCTATATGATGCTTTTTCCACTGGTCAAAACAATTTTTGAAAAAAACACATCAATTTTTCTGCCATTTTTTGTTTCACCTCTTCCCATCGGTAAAATGTCTCCCTTTGAGGATTTTTCCATCCAGGGAAACAAAAAGAAAGTCACTAGGGGCGAGATTGTGCAAACAGGGAGGGTGGGGCATGGGAGTCACGCCATTATTGGTCAAAAACTGTTGAACACAGCGTGGTGTGGGCAGGTGCACTTGTAAATCACCCACCACGGAATGGGTAGATGGGACGAATCTTCAAGAAAAAAAATTCACTGAATCCTAATACAGCTTCTCACAACAATGCTAGCTGATACACTGATGCTGATGGGTTCCCAGAGCACTTATCTAGCAGGGGAAGCCTGTACTACAGGAGACCCAACACTCCCCCCTAAAATAATTCCGGGTTTCTTGGTTTCTTATACATGAGGATTAAAAAGACAACATTTAAAGAACACTGGCTATGCCCACATGACTGAAGCAGAGCTGCATTTCTGTTTAATCTCCACAGTTTCCCCAAGAATTAGTTCCTGTTAGTATCCTCATTTTATAGAGGAGAAAAATAGGGCGCAGAGAGGTTAAGTAACTTGTCTAAGGGTTGTAGAGTGAAAAGGGTGTGAATGGATGACCTCTCAACAAACTCTCAGGAGTAGGATATGTTGCCCAAAAGCATCTGCTGAGGCGGGACCCCACCCTGCGGCTTGCCCGGAGGAGGCAGGCAGGGAGAAGCATGGAGAGGAGGAGTCCTGACAGGGGACGCTGGGAGAGAGCCAGAAAGGATGGCAAGCCCCCTCCCAGCCACCCTCTCACCATCCCACCTGTGGCGCTCACCTTAGTGGATCAGGATCTTGCCTGGTGGGGCTTCCTGCCCACCCCAGCCTCTGCCTGGGCCTCCCAGCCCCTTGGCCTCAGGCTAGGCCTTTGTGCGCTCACGAGGCGGTGGAGGGAGGGTAGCCATCCCACCAGCCTGCCCCTCCCCCTTTCTCGGAGGGCTGGGGGGGGCGGGGAGGCCGGTGAACAGAGTGAATCTGGGTGCACTTCCCTCAGCACCTGGGTCAGCCTGGGTCCGACACTCTCCTCCGCACTTGCCTCCCCCAGTGGGGAGGCAGTGGCACGTGTGCAGCTCCGGGTCACTGCCGCCATTTTTTCGGCGTGGAGACCGAGGCTACCTGGATCTGGGTTGGGCCTGGAGGTCCGCTGAGGGAAGCGGGTGGGCGGGAACAAGCCCCCTCCCTGTGCTAGCTGTGGAGTGTGGAGTGGAGGTGTGCGGGCCGGAGCTGTTTGAAAGGCAGGGGGAGGAGGTGCGGGGTTTCTGCATATGGGCCCTCCCCTCGGCCTAACAACACCCCCGTCCTCTCTTTCTGCCTCCTGTCAGGGAAGCCTGGATTTTCAAGTGGCCGGGACAGGTTAAGGGGGCAGAGAAGAGGCAGTGCAGCGCCAGGAAGGGATGCCCGGGGACGGTGAGTGTCCTTCTTTCTAACCTTCTTGTTTTATGGGAACCAAGGGGGGCCAGCCTTCATCTCATTGGATTGAAACCCAAGATGTTCACTGTATGACTCAGATAGAAGGGTCCCGGATGGTTTTACAGACAGCTAGCCCTGCTGCTCCCTTTACAGCAAGACATCGAAGCAGGATGCCTTGTGGCACTACTTTCCAGTACACTTTGTTGTTTGTTTACTACAGCTTCCAGCCTTCCCTACCTCTGCTTCCCTGGAAATTAAACTTCAGATGAAGGTTAGTGGAGCCAGCCACCATTTACACCTCTCTTAGTGTCCTGGGACCCCACCAAAGGTCTCCTGGAAGCTTCTAGAGACTACTCTGGAGAGTGTGGGGGGTGGACACAACCAGTTTAACGTGCCTGCTGGAATGCCCAGGGGCAAACATCGGTCCCAGGCCTTCTGCATGTCTTGAATGACTTTCATCTGAGTACAGTGGAATTGTCAGTAGCCACCCTTCTTATCTGCTTTCTCTCTAGCTAGACTTGCATTAATGATGCAAGCTTGGAGGACATAGGGGCTCTGTGGACATCCATGGAGCCTTGGTGCCAAGCAAACAAAGGGACTAGTCTTGCTGGAATAACTCAATAAAGCTTACACTACCCCCAGAAAGGACCTGAAAATCAATCTCTACTTGAGATGGAGTGGAGGGGGAGGTCAGTAATGATCTGTCTATAATTCTGTTTACAAACCCAGAATAGGGAGAAAATAAAAAGTTCTGGGCCACATGAGATCCAGAATTTTGTTTTATTAGACATCTGTGAAGACAAGAGAGTTTGCAGACACAATCCTGTCAAGTTGTGAACTGCTGCAAAGTTCTGTGAAGTTTGAGTTTATCTTGTAGTGAATAAGACCCCAACAGCTGATATTTTAGAATATTGTTCCATATTTCAAGCAGATGAAAGGTGTGACATAATGACCGATGTTTATACTAGTCATCCACTTAAGCCATTTCCCAGCAAACATATGCAGCTTAATCACAGCTATTACATCTCTACAATGTGAAGTTCGATCTTCGACTAATAATGCATTTTGACTCCTGTTTATATTGGTGCATGCGATTCTTTGCTACCCTGGCAATTAACCAGACCTGGACTCTAAAAGCTAAACTTGTTCTAAATAACATTCTAAAGGTAGGGCAGCCTCTATCATCTGAACTCATCTTAGCCATCACATTGCAAAAACATTTGTATGGCTCCTCCTCTTTCCTATCCTGTCTGTAACTTGTCTGTCATTCAGCATTTAATGCCTGCTGTGTACAGAAAGTGCAGTTTCAAAGGAAATTCTTGATGGTTCTGCTTCCAAGAATCATCAATATCAGATAACATGCCAGGGACAATTGAGTAATGGGTCAAGACAATGGGCCTTCTTGATACTTTCTGAGATTAGAATATGTGTCCAAGTGTACTTATCCAGTGCTCTTATTTTAGAATATTTCAGTGGGGGTAGAGGCAGGGAGGGATGGAATTGAAGGTTTCATTCAAGGAGTCTGACTACTGGGGCTGCATCTCTGTGACCAGAAGAAAGTCCAGTCAATTTATCACCCTCTTCATCATCCATTTGCCAACATTACAGATTTCTATCAGCTCATTTAAGAGAAATAGTTAGAAAGGAGACATCATTAATGCAAGGCAAGAAAGGTTTTACATTAACCCAAAAAAAAAAAAAAAAAAAAGAGATGCTTCATCATATTCCATTTACACTTAACCCAGTAGAAAAGCTGATCCCTTCCTTTGACCCTGGCATACTGAAAACATCACACACAGCAGACCACACTTAGCCTCAGGGTGATTGCTTTGCCTCAGAAGAGGTTGATGACCCCTCAGGATGAGAGGTTTCTTAGGCTGTTCTGCACAGTCACATTGTTTACAGAACCAGAATTGCTCAGCTCTCAAAGTCTGTACAAGAATGCAGGCTCCTCTAAATGTAATCTGTGAATCTTTGGGAAGGATGTGCACGTAGAAGGGTCTATTGAAGCTCTTGATCCAGGGGGATCAGGTGTTCAGAGAATTCCGACCCCAGGTACCTCTGTCTATTGCTCAGTCTTGCATACATGGTCCAGAGCTTGGCATCAGCACAAATTGATGATTAGTGAGCACAATTTAAAAGGAAACTGGAAAATCAAGGGCAGCAATATCAACAACAAAAACTAAAGAGCATTTTCTCTCTTTTTTAAACAAGAAAAGCGTGTTGTAGAAATAAAGATTCTGTACAACATTCTAATATTATATGTACATAAAATTATATTACTCATAACTACTTTGAAAAGTCTTATTTGTGGAATATGGCTGGCAACCCCAAAGAAAGACCCATACTGTTTAGCTTTTGAAGCAGAACAGGTAGCAAGAGAACACTAGCAAACACACCTTTGTGCCCGGATATGAAATCCCGCTACTAAGTTATGTGACTAGCATTCTCTAGTTCTGTGGTTTGTTCATGTTTCACATTCTAGTAAGAAATTCTGCAGCAGGCGATATGAAAAAGAAGACACGTTAATATGAAATGTGAAATGCTATTGAAAATCTGCATATTGGCTATGATAATGGGTCTGTGAATCCAACTCACACTGGAAGTTCATTCGCTCATTCACTATTCATTCATTATGCATGCCTCCAGTGATTTCATGAATTCCAGCAGGTGGAAAAGACAGCTTTGAACAGATCAGATGGGCTGTGAGTCAGTCTTGATTCTTTTTCCTCATTAGGCTTCTGAATGTTAGAGAAAACAGTCTTTGTACAAGGGAGAACGGGGAAGGGGAGAATGCAGACCCTCCAGTTGGTTCCTCAGGCAGCCCTGTTCTTCGGGTTCCTTTTTGGCAATGTTTTTCCTCCCTGGGTGGGTTAAAACTGCCTCCCCAAGGGGAGTGGAGCCCCAGCTCCACACACCAAGAGGACACAGTGTGGAATCACCTTCACGTGTAAGCCTTCTTCCTAAAGGGACCCTAAGGGGAAGACCGCAGGGGGCGGTTCGTGGTCAACAAAACCTAAAGTTAGAACTTCCTAAATTTCAGTTGAACCATAAACACCTATTGTATACACTAAAAATGCAAATTGGGGTCACTCCTCCAAGAGTCAACTTCAGTGAAAAAGGGAACCTGTTTTTAACACACACCCAGGCAATTCTGAGCCACAGACCTTCCTTGAAGAAAACTGGCTTAATTCACCAAGTGTAGATTACAAATTATTTTTAAACAGACTTAAAAACTAAAATTTTAATTAACCATTTCATAGAGCAGATTCTCTTCCCATATTTCACAATGTACTCCTTTCAAAACAAGGGAATAAATGGCCAGAATTCTTACAGGGATGAAGGTGAGCAGGAAGAAGTGGATTAATTTAAAATCTCTCTGCTTTTCAAGATGAGGGGCTCTTCCAGGCTTGGTGATGTGAACAAGACAAATTGCAACCTCATTTTCACACATAATTCCTAGAAGATTAACTAGAATTACCCATGAACTGAGAAATCAGGACTTGGCATTCTGGGAATTATATCACAGAATACAATTTGCCATGTGTCAGTAACTCTTTAATATCCATTTCCGTCAAAGCAAGTTTTCACCTGCTGAAAAGTTGAGGCACCTTTCATGCTCATACAAATCCTAATGGATCAGCCAAGCCTACGATTTTTCTTCCTGGAACCTCATCATTTAAATTATATGGGAACCTAAAAGAGTGCCCAGTGTAGGCAGTCTTCTATGATCAGCTAAAAACATTCCAAGTTCCCACTGAATCACCACTTTGAATCACATGATGAAATGAAAAGAAATTAACGGCAGATGGGTGACATTTTATATTGACTGCCATCCAAAAAATTTTAAAAGAAGAGTCTCAGCTGAAGATCTGCTCATGGCTCAAAGATCTCATTTTAAATCTAGAAAGATAGCAATAGGGCATCCTAAATTCTGTTTAATGGAGTTCTGTTCAAAGCAAGCTCAACCACTGCTGCAGAAATGTACTGATCCCCTTGTCGGTGGCCGTGTCACCACTTTTGTACCTATGAAAACTAGCTGTTCTCCTAGGATCCTTTAATTTCCTATGCCCAAATCGTAATCTTAATTTCTGATAATTTTTCTGACTCCAGTGTGCCCTCAAAAATCTCCAACTATTTCTAGCCCTGGTTGTTGTCATTTTCCCTGCTGAAATTCAAGTGGGCAATGGTGAGGGTCAAGGTCAGGGGAAAAAGGTTGAGGTCAGCAGATGCAGATAAGTTGCGTCCAAGGGGACAGGTGATGGGGAAGGACGGTTAGTAATTTAGGAAGTCGATCCCAACTTTGACACTCTTCGAGGTGGCTATATCAACAGCTGTGGCTTTGATCTCAGTGTCCCCGAACTGCATAAGGGTCTGGATCTCCCTACGGGCGGGCACCGCTGTGCCGCTGGTCCCTGTGAGATCCAGGCGGAGTGTGCCACACTTCTTCACCCCAGGGTCGGTGATGAAGCTGACGTCATCATGCTCAGAGCTGTAGATGTTGATGACAATGACCAGCTGGGAGGGTTTGGCCGGGGTGTAGCTACGCTTGACCAGCTCACCCAAGGCCACAGACTGGTCAGCAGAGATGAACTTGTCGAAGACGTCAGTGCACCAGCGAGTGCCATCCTTCACCAGCAGCTTCTCAGGTGGGTGCTTGCCCTCTACATAGCGGTTCAGCACACCCACCCCGTAGGTGAGCGGTGACCGACGCACCTTGATGACTGCGGGGTCCAGGCCAAAGAGGACTGCGCCCTTGAGGATGGTAAGGCCTACGTCCTGGGGGATGATGATCCGGCACTTGTCCCCAAAGGCAGCCTGCACTGCCTGCTGCAGGAGGGGAGCCTCAGCAAAGCCACCCACTAGGAAAAGGAACTTGACAGTGGACACCTCGGGCTTCTGGAACAGGTCCCCTGAAAGGGAAGAGGCAGAGAGAATGCCCTGTCACCAAAAGCCAGCGAGCAAGGGGAGAACTAAGCTGCCTGTGTCTGGGGATAAATGGACAAAACTTCTTGGGCTAGGGGAAGGCAGGCTGACTCTGAACTTGAGCAGAATTTCATAGAACAGGTCCTTTAAAGAAAGGGAGTCTGCACACCAGTATGTTCAAGAATAAAACCAGAGCTTCTGCTAAGCAGAAACCCATTTTAACATAAATGGTGATGCTTTTAAGTAGAATGTATTATGCACAAATGAAGCTCTCCAAACCTATGGTTCTGTTGAGTAAGCCATTCCCTGATTTTCATAAAAACCCCATCCTACCCTAGGGGTTCTGACTTGGTAGGTGGGAGGTGGGGTGGGAAGTTGATGGGGAGGACTTGGAGTCTGTTGTGTGTCCCCAGGTGAGTGCCACCAACATAGGGTAACTGCATGGCCAGGTTCTCTTTACCCTCTTTCAGGAGAACTTCCTTTGGTTTACACAACAGTTTGTTCTCCCCTAGCAGGGTGAGGAGTCCTAATTTGTCCCAGTAAATCAAAGACTAGGCATTTCCCAGGGCCTATCACTCTCAGGTAATGTGGCTTGAAGCTTCCAGCTCTCTGGCTTTTGAGACCAAACCAAAAGCCCAGGTGAGACAGGCTCTCAACAGCTTTGCAGTACATGAGGAAAGAGCTCTGGAGCCTGTGCCCAGCAACTTCCCTTCAATATACCCAAGCCCTGCCTACTCACAGCTGGGGAGCCCTGGCCTGTGGCTCCTGGGCCCGGTTTCCCTGCCAACCTGACTCCACATGCACTGATTTGTGATGCTGGAAAAGTCAGTCACCATTCTCAGATCCGCCTCACTGAGGTCTAAGCCCTGGCTGATACTTACGAAGATGCTCGATGATGCTGTCAATGGTTGGCTTAAAAAGGGCATTCATGGCATCTGGACTCATCCTCAGCATCCCCTGTGAAGACCACTTCACAAAATCCACACTGCAGGAACATGGCACAGAGAGGAACAAGCAATGAGAATCTACACAATAGCCAGAGCTTATCTGCACAGACAGGCACCCTGACAGAACATCTATTACATCTCAGGGGGCAGAAAGGGGTTTGAAAGTCAAAAGCACCCTTGGAACTCCCCTGAACTGCCAGGACCTGGATGCTTAGAAGCTCAAAAGCTAAGAAATAACCTCGCTGTATCTAGTGTTTGACTGTGACCAACCTTCTCCTGGGCTAGAGGAGGCCAAAGCCCAGTGCAAGAGACAAGGAGATAAATAAAGGGCACTCTCTCTCTTGGAAGACCACTCGTTGAATTCAACAACAGTTGGATTAAAACATGTTAAAGGCTCACATGATGCATTTATTATGCTGCTACACAAGGTTACAAATTTGTGCTCAGGTGCATGTCCTCAGCCCTCCAGGTGCCTGTCACATGGCAGGGATAGGCCTGATCCTACTGGATGGCCCTTATGGTGTCTCTGTCAAAGAGGTAGCTTGTCCAGAAGTGGTGGTGTGAAGCAGAAAGAGTCCTAGACGAAGAACTGGGATTGGGGGACTCCAGCCTGGCCACCACCACGGAGGAGATCTGGGACTTTGAGCCAGTTGGTTTCCATTTTCTCTGAGCCTAGGCAGTCAGATCTTCATATCTAAAGATCAAGGATAAGAGCACTTGCCTTACCTCTCTTAACAGTGGTTGTTGTAAAGATCAAGTTAAATGCCAGTCTGTGGAATTTTTTGGAAACTTTCTGGCACTAAACTAAAGCAAGGGGTTTATTCTCCAAACCCACAGTGTGTGTTCCACCTGTTCTAAAGTTTGAAGGAGCCAAGTAAATGGAACCTCTGTCCCGGACCCAAAGCATACACCCGTTGCTTCCCAGACACATGTTCTAGATGCTGCCAGGTCTCCCAGACCAGGAATTCTTTCCATGCAATAGGCCAAAGGACAACATGCTGTGTGGTATAGAGTGACCCATGGCTTGCTATGGACAGTTTCCTTAGTGGGAAGGTTAATTTGTGGCTCTCCCTGCTTGTTGTTGGTATATAGGAATGCAACTGTCTTTTGCACATTTATTTTGTACACTGAGACCTTGCCAAAGTCCTTTATCAGTGCAAGTAGGTTTTTGACAGATGCTCTTGGATTTTCAAGGTATAGGATCATATCATCAGCAAAGAGGGATAACTTGTCTTTCTCTTTTCCTATTTGGATACCCCGAATTTCCTTCTCTTGTCTAATTGCCCGAGCTAGGACTTCCAACACAATGTTGAACAAGAGGGGTGAGAATGGGCAGCCTGGTCTTGTTCCAGTTTACAGGGGAAATGTTTCCAGCTTCTGTTCATTTAGCAATATGTTGGCTGTGGGTTTATCGTAGATGGCACTTACTATTTTGAGGTATGTTCCTTCTATACCTAGGTGTTTGAGGGTTTTTATCAAGAAGGGATGCTGGCTTTTATTAAAAGCTTTTTCTGCATCTAATGAAATAATCATGTGGTTCTTGTTTTTACATCTGTTGATGTATTTAATGACATTTATGGTCTTGTGAATGTTGAACCAGCCCTGCATCTTGGGGATGAAGCCTACTTGGTCGTGGTGGATGATTTTTTGAGATGTGTTTTGGATCTGATTTGCTAGAATCTTGTTGAGGATTTTTGCATCTATGTTCCTAAGGGATATTGGCCTGTAGTTCTCTTTTATTGTTGGATCTTTACCCAGTTTGGGTATCAGTTTGGCCACCCCTAATAAATTGATGGACCTAGGCAACAGTCAACAATGAACATCACAAAAGGAGAGATAAGCAGACATCATATGTCCCCTGATACCGTGCAATCAGAAAGACCATCATCCCTGAAGCAGACCTGCCAAAAATTCCAACTTGAATCTGATTAAACCCCTAAGTCAATCTGTCAGTTTTCAAAAAACAAAAATACCAGGGGACAGAACATGCTATGTAACACTATGGGCATGAAGTGAGCAAAAACTAGACAGTAGGAGACTCTATAAGAAAAGCCACCAGTTTTATCATCTAATAATTTGTGAAGGAAAAACCAGGGGGGAACCTATATATTAAGTGGAACTTAGAAGCATAAAATACTTGCTGTGTAAAGACTCATTGAACACTGGCGCAAACTGAAACCATTTATGAGACAATTGGAAAAATATAAATGTTAACTAGATACTTGATATTGAAAAAGTTATTAATTTTTAAGTGTGATAATGGTATTTTGGTTATGATTTAACATGTATATCCTATAGAACTACATACTGACATATGTATGGATTAAATGATAATCTATCAGATTTGCTTTAAAATAATTAAGGGATTCAGACTGGCCAGGAACTGACAATTGTTGAAGTTGGATGATGGGGTATTTTACCTAGTAAATGTTTGAAATATTCCATTATAAGAAGGTTATTAGAAAAAGGTGATTATGGAAGGTAGTAGATATGTAAATTTGTCTTCCTATAATAATCGTTTCACTATGAATATCAAAAAATACAAGGTTACTAGAAATCTATGATTTTTATCTATTATTTTTAAAATTCAGCATCTTCCAAATGCGTTCATTTTGCAACAAGCTGAGACACAAACACTCAGAGTGGCAGGAAACCTAGACTCCCATGGGATTCAATCAACAAATATTTACTGAGCACCTACTGTGTACCAGGTTCTCTTCTAGACACTAGGAATACAGCATAACTCAATTTCCTGGCTTTCATAAAGTTGATACTTTTTTGGTGAATACTAATTAACACATAGATAATACTTTCCAGGTCCCAGGCATTGTGCTAAGCACCTAACCTACATGAATTAATTTCATTCTAACCACAGCCATAAGAGGTAAGTGGAATTATTATTCTAAGATTCCACATGAAAAAACAGGGATAGAGAAGTTTGTTCCTTGCCCAAGGCCGCACAACGAGTGTGTAGGATTAGAACACAGGGTCCACACCTCCTTTCTCTCTCCCATCAACACAATCCACTCCTAGAATGTTCTGGGCCAAAGGTAAAGCCAACTTACTTGCTTTTCCTCAAGGCATGCTCCACGCTGTGCCCACGAAACTTCTTGTAGTAGTCAATGAAGGAGAAGGGCAGGGTGATGTTCAGTGGGTTAGTTCGATCTGGGGCAGCCGCCCTTTTGCGAGACTCAAATGCAATCATTAAGTCAACCCAGGCAGCTGGACGTTTGATTTTGAATTGTTCGATAAAATCCTCTCCAAATATTTTACACAGAAGTTTTTCAAATTCATAATCTACTCCCAAGGATCCATAGGGTCCACCTGAGTTGAGAACAAAAGGGAGCCCACGATGTGAACTGTTAGAAACTGAATCCAAGCTCTGGGAGAAAAAAGGCCTACCTATGACCCATTTAGCATGCCGACTACAGCTGTAAGTTTTTTGTTACACTCTAAAACCCTTAGCAGCTTCTCATTCCATGTAGAACATTTTTTTTCCTACAAAAATCTCTTGTCAACAATCTTTTAAAATAAAATCAATATTTTTATCTAAATAGGAGTATCATAGTATTCCTCAAGAAATCTAAGGGTGGTGTCTCAAAATCAGCAGACCTCATCCAGTCCCTGTGAGACCTACTAATTATTCACTATCCTTCCTCTCCACAGTCCCCCAAAGGGAAAGAGCATGTTCTTGGTGTGGCAATCCGGACCCAAGACAAAGTATTCTGATGGCCCAGGAAGCCGACTTTAGCACTAAGTCAGAGGCAGCATCAAGTTACTATGGCATGACATCCTTCCACAACTTTCAGAAACAAACTTCCTTGGCCAGAGTCTGAAACAAGCTCACTCTATGCCAAAACCCAAGTTGTGATGGCTTGTGCTTTAAAGAATGTTTAATTGCATTTTGCTTTCCAATTTCAAACAGACATTAGTATCCTCTACCGCCTACAATACCACATGCTAGTGGCATGGAAAGAATGAAACTGAGAGATCCAAAACAAGTAAAACAGAACTGTCTGAAAATGGCTCAGGCATGAGAAAATTAGCCACGCAGAGGCTCACCTGTTGCTTTATACAATTCTTTAAGATGTCCCTCTGGTAACCGTATCTGATGGACTGTCAGGTCTACGGTGCCACCGCCACTGTCCACAACCACATACTTGTCACCTGGCACAGAAACAGCTGTCTTTTACAAGCACTACTGGTCAACCCCATCTGAAACAAACTGGTGGGGGGTAACTAGGTATACCCAGCCTGGCACTATCGATTCTCATTAGTACAATAGTTTTGCTAATTAGCAGCACCAGGAGTTACTCATGTCTAAAGAGAATGCAATCATGGCTGCCCTGTGATGCATGGATAATGGTGTAAACCCAGGTGAGTGGACTTTAAGATTCACACAGTGCTGCATACCTGGCACATACTGGTGGGCAACTTCCTGCCATGCAAATAGCACCCCCCAAATCATCTGTTGCTTAACACAAGACTTACTCTGGAACTGGTCAGCTCCAATTCCTACCTTTCTTTTGAAGAGTCGGCATCATTTTTCAACATGCAAAGTTACAGCTCCCAAAAGAGCTCTCCCTGCATGAGTGGTCTTTAAAACCCACTGAGTTTGAACATTTTCCAAAAGTGCAAAAGGGACAAATGGGAATGCATTTTTGCCAGAGACACACAAAGAACCAGCAAGAGCAAAGGACATTGAAGGACGCTACCTTCCTCCAGCTCGGACCAGATTTCTCCTATGACATTCTCCACCAAAAATGTCCGACTCTGCCGATTACGCCGTATGTGTTCCTTAGCTAGTGGCCGACAGAAAGAAAATGACGACGGGTAAGACAGCATGAAAAAGCGGACAGTCATCTGCAGTTGCTGGAGGCAATAGCATGAGGAGATTTAGGGATGAAATGTTAGTGACATTTGACCAAAATGCGTAAATAAGTACAATCACAAAGCCAGCTCTTCCCAGAGAAAGTAGCTGTTTCCACCGGGCCTTCATCTGTTGGTCTGTGTGGCGGCTCTGACCTGTTCCAAATTGAAAAACCAGTCCCGATGAGATTCCCTTCTCCGGTGACATTTTTTGAGGAACAGGTGAATAAAATCCGCCAGTTTTCCGGGGAGGAAGCTCTCTGCCAAACAGCCAGCAGTTCACTCAGCTAAACAATTGCACTTCAAGGAACCTTGTGTGATACAAGGAATGTGGGACGTGTTTTCCTAATCTAGATTCTGGGTAAATGGATTGGGAGCCATTTCCCGACGCAGTTGAAGCCAATTTGCGCTTCAGCCACAAGGTGGCGCGACTGAACCCAAAAAAGCCCTTGCATGGCCTTTTTCATGAACACTGGGAGATAATCTCTGCTTGAGTCTATGGCTCCTGCCATGGCTTGGAGTGCTGAGCAACTGCGATCCCTGTGTGGCCCACAGGGCACACATCACTATCCTTCTGTGTAGATAAGGAAACCAGGTCGGGGGGACTAAGGGACTTGCATTCCCCAAAACTCCTGTCTTGCAACCTGAAACTAGCCCACACACCACAGACTCTCACACCTTTGAGATTTAACTATTTACAAGAAAGTTTGAAAAGCAGAATAACGGAATGTTTTGAGATGAGAAAAGTGCTCTGAAAGGGTACCTGAGAAGCGGCAAGGTACAGCCAAGGTGGGAATCGGCAAACCACTTAACCCTTCTGGGCCTCAGTTGCCTCACCCATACAATGAGGATAATAATAGTTGGCCCAAGTTCCCCATGGGCAGAGCAGGAACTGAATCTCCAATGTACCTTCAGTACCCAGAATGACAGCACATAGTAGGTGATCATGAAGACAGAGCCCCTGGGATAAGACCTGATGCTCTACAAATGATAACTCTGTGAACAATTGAAAGTAGCCCTCTGATGGTACAGACGGGGATTCTGCTATCTACTACTCTGCTGCCCCATTCCACAACTTCACCCTTTCCCAAGTTTTTTTTTTTAAGTCTCTAAGCTGGTGCTGCTGATTTTGAATTGTGTTGCAAACCCTCTGTTGCTGGTTATCCAGGAAAGCACCCATGACCCTCTAGCCTCTTTCAGCAAGGAACAGTGTTTACAAAACATCTTCTTCTCTGGGGATGAGAATGGCTCAGCCAGCTCCAAGTTCTTCAGGGCCTGGAATAGAGTAAGGAGGGAGGCTCCCCTGTTGAAGGGATTCCGGCAAGCCTGGGAGGGTTCTCCAAACTCAAGACCTCTCTCCTGTTCCCAGAACTGGCACCAGAACAGCTTGCTACAGACCTTGTAAAGGGCATTTCGTTTTCTCAGACCATCTAGATAACAAAATGGCATTCATAAAACACAGCCAAGCGAGGCTAATAAGACATGTAATGAGCTCTCAAAAAAATTAGCCCATTTTTCAGGCAAATTAAGCCCAAGACTGGGAAAAATGTATCCTTTACTGATCTCATTCAATCCTGCAGGAGTAAAATAATATTGATGGCAAATCCTGCAATGCTGGGGGCCATGCAACTACTCCATCTCTCCTCAGTGGTGTCCACTGGGCTCTGATCATAAAGGAGCACCTGAGTATCTCAAGTACTCCTGGTCAAGTGCTCTGCCAGGCTTGCCCCAGACAGAACCCCACTCCTGAGAGAGATGTTCTCTTTGCAAAGCAAGGCTCATACCAGACCCCTGCCTCACTGTCCCTCAGAAGGGCAGTAATCAACAATTTGAGTATTTCACAGTCCAAAAAGACCCTCTGAGCACACAGAGACAACATCCAATTCTACAAGCCACAGGACACAAACACAGAGAGGTATGGGGGTCGTATGATGCGTTAAGGGAAGGGAGATAAAAACTGAGCTCTCAAGGAAGGCAGTCACTCAAAAACAGATTCTGCCCCTAAAATGTTCGTGCTATACTTGCAAAAAGTTAAGGAAAAGTTACTCTAGAATTCTCTAATTCTGACATGAAATTTTGTTTATGAACAATTAAGAATCAGCATGTAAGAGATAAATTCAGTCATTCCTCTTTTTTACCATGAGAACAATGAAGATGGAAATGTCAATAAATATATCATCCTGGGTATTTAAAATGTTAAAGCATTTGATTTAGCAGGAAGGCTAACCTCAGCAGGCCTCAAGGAGGCCAAGCTTGGTAGAAAAGAGCAAATCAAGCCCTCAGGTTGAAAGGGAAGCCTGTTTCCATCCATTCCAGGTAACTCAGATCTCAAGTGCTAACACACAGCTGCTGCTGGGCTGAGGCAGCAGCCTGGTGTCAAGGGAGTCTTTTGTCAGTCTTGTGGCTGAGGGTCATAGACTCCTAAATCTTGGGATTGAAGTGCAAAGAGGCCACTGGCCTCTGGGCCAGGTTGCCCCTGGGAAGAGAAAGAAGAGAGGCCTGGAGGAATCACCAAGTATAGTCTGGGCAAGGATGTATATCTGCTCAGGGGGAGCTAGACCAGGTGCCTCAAGAGAGTGCAGAGATGGACTTTGGATGTAGGAACCAAAGAAATCTGGGAAAGAAGCTTGTCTAGGAGGGGAGGACAACTTGGCAACAGTCCTCACTGATGACTTCCCTCTCCTCCTTTTGGGTCTGGGACCTTCCGGGGGGTATGGGGCAGGTATGGGTAACAGATGATGTCTGCCCTTGAGGTCCTCATCCAGGAAGAGAGCAGAGAGCTCAGAGCTGAGGTGCCCGGAGCCACCCACAGCACCCCCACTCAGTGTTGTGCTCATGTTGGTACTTTGACCCTGGCCTAGGATTTCTACAAACCCTGTAGCCCTGAAGAGACCCACAGAGCCCTGGATGCCAGGGAAAACAGTTCTGGGGACCAAGACAGTGACCAACTTGCATGCAGGTAACTATTAAAGAGGAAAATCTCCTTAAAATATCTGCCCTGGGTCTCCCTAAGCAGGCGTTCCTTCTCACAACTAAATGAGCATCGCCTGGGTCAGGAAAAGCCAGCCCATTTGGTCTGTATTTTAAACTCTCAGTTAAGACACATACTGAATTATCACACATGAAGCAACTCCAATGAGTGAGTCAGCAATAAATCAACAGTCTTAATGGAGGAATTAATAAACAGGCAAATGGAATTAGATTAAGAGTCAGTTAATAGACAAGAAAGATTAAGAGTCTAGTAAAATGCAAGGCCAAGAACTCCTCTCAAGCTGCCCTCAGGTTCATGGTGAGAACCCCCTGCCCACAGGCACTTGGTAGTTGACGAACCTGGGTAACCACTGCTTGGTTTGTGGAGATCGTTGGTGGGACCAGATAGGGACACAGTACAGAGGTGCTTAAAGCCAACCTCCTACTGGAGTACCTTGATTCATTACAGCACTAAGTGCCTTTAAAATCATCGGAGGCAGAGAAACATCCAGGGGTCATGGGGGAAGAGAGCAGGAGGGGGAGAGAGAGAGCAGAGGTACCCTGTGTAAACCCAGCTCCTACTGTGTCACTGCCGCTGTACCCATTGATGGCTGCCATGCTGCTCAGCTCGATCATCTGGTGCAGCCGCAGCTTCCGGCAGTAGATGGAGGCTGCCTCAGGCTCCAAGGCAATGATGAGCTGCTCCGAGTTCTCAGGGGAGGCCAGACCTGCCTGGAAGACAGAAGCAGAGGCTGAGACCCAGGGCTCCTTGGGCAGACCCTCTCACAGGAGACCTCAGACTGAAATGCCCAAAGAAGGCACACTCATGCCTTGGAGACATTCCCTGCACAGTCCTCTGCGGAGCTTAACATTGGAATGCTGGGTGCGGGGCCCCAAGCCAGGTGCTCAAATGCCCCAGAGTGGCCAAAGAAAATGCACAAGCACTCTCAGGAAGTGCCAGGCTCTCTGGCCATGGGCCTCTTGCACTTGGGACTCACTTGGCCTGAACTAGAAGCACAGGAGGGGTCAGAGTGAATGTGGACTGTGAGGTGCAGATGGGGTTCAATGCTCAAGTGGTGGCAGGACAGAGTTGCAAAGACCCCAAAACTTGGAAAAACATCACAGAATGGAAGGCAGATGATCTGTTCCTGCTTAAATAGGTCACAGAGTCTGACTGAGTTGAAGCAAACCCTAATCTTTGGTGGCCTGGGAAACAAATGGGCCATCACTAGACCTCAGCTATGCAGACATTTGATTCTGCTGTATGGAAAGCCTATCTGTTACCTCCAGAACTCTAGGAGGGCTCCTGAGGTTTGCTTGCCTGGGGTGACAGATGAGCAAGTGGCTCCAGAAGGAAGCCCGTCCTGGAATCCCATGCGGTCTCTCATTTTCTTGAGTGTGATTGAAAGTCAGCTAGCAGGTATCTTAAGCAAAGCCTTCCCTTAATAGTTTTTATTATACATGCATGTCACATATAATAATAAATATTCCTTTAATAATCCAATCTCCAAGTTCCCATCTGTAGCCTCCATCTGCAAATGTTTGGGAGCTCCACTTGCAATAGGCAGAAATGCCTCTGCTCTGTGACATTTGATCTGTTCCAGACATAGGCCCTTGGGCCTGAAGAAGGGCCAGCCCAGGAGGCCCCAGGACCACCCTTCTGAGAATGCTGAGATAAATGAGCCTGGCTTGGCCTCTAACTAGGTCCCCACCACCTCCCATGGCCTTGAACTGGAACAGGAAGTCTCGCTTGCTTCTGGAAGCTTGTTCAGGTGCCCAGGATTTCCTTGGTTGCCAGCACCATGGAAAACAGAGGCACACTTCGCTCTTGCCACCACTGTGCCTACTTTTTTGCCTCTTCTTAGGGAATAATGGGATGCTGCCTTCATGCCCCATCCACTTGGGAGAAAGGCCCCCAGCTCTTTACCATACCCTTGAGGTTTAGTGGATTCTTCTCGTAGACAAGGTACAGAAGGTTTCCTGATGTCACAAAAAACTTCTTACCTGGGGAAGCCAGCCAGAGCATGGGCAGAGGGGCTTAGGAGGTCCACTTATTGGGCAAGGAGGAGAGGGGGGCATCAGGTTCGAATATTAGGAATGCAAAGGACCTTCAGGGCCTTTTGTCCAACTCCTTCACTTCCTCAGAAAGAAACCAAGGTCCAGAAAAGAGGGATTTCCTGGGATGTGAGACTTTTGGTGCCAAAGTCAGCATAGTCTTGCTCCAGGTACCCATCCTGAAAGTGATAAGGCTCAGGTCTCAAGCCTTGCAGCCCCAGCTCTCCTGTTCTTAGCAACTCCAGTTGCAGGGATGGTGTGGTGGCCAGTCCTGCCTCCTTAGACAAAATCCCTGGACCTCTAATATTTCCTTCTCAATTGGTTAAAAGTTACCATTCTTTTACCCATTTACTCTTCAATGGTATCAAATGACACATTGCCTGCATGCACTGTCAGAAGTTCTCTGTAACAACCTCACCCCAAATAAATCCAATTAGTTATGTTTTAATGAGATACTACCAGTAGGCAGGTGACTCAAAATCTTCCTTCTGTAAACACTGAATGCCTCACAAATGGTAGAACCAAATGAGAACCACACTCGTGCCCTGCTTCATCCACAGTGAACCCCCTTCCCCATGGCCTAGTACCCTCAGCTACAGCCAACCACATGGGCAGTGTCTATACCCAAAGACTGGAAAAGGCTGGGTCTTCCCTTAGTGACATGGGTCAACAGGCCACCAACTCCATGCATGACAAGATTTCCCAATGCTCGCTATTCCAGCTAGTAAAAGTCCCCCGCTTCCCAGCTTCACCCTCACAGGGTCACATTAGACATCCTCAGCACAAAAATGGCTGAAAGATCAAGTGCTCTGTGAAAGAGGACATGGGTCACACACATGCAGTGCCACCAGGAATGGTGAAGTCTCTGAGCCTTAATCCCGAGGGTTCCAGAAGAAGAAATCCAAAACAAGACCAAGAGGAGCCCCCTTCTAAAGGACAGATTTTGTGTTGATCTTCCCATCTTCATAGGTTTGTAGCACCAGGGACCTCACGGAAGAATAGAGGCTACAGAGCCAGCTTCCACAAAACCTGGCGAGGAAGAAGGAATGACTAGCTACAAAGAAACAGCTGGGTCTACATGTACAAGATCCTTTTCCAAAGTTCAAACTAGAAAATAAACGCTGGGGGCAGGGATGAGCCTATGAGTGGAGCCCAGAGAGTTGGTATGAAGAAAAAAGGCAAAAACTCTATGTATGACTCAAAAGTCACATCACTGTTACAAGGTCCCACTGGGATGTCAAATCCTACCCAGTGGGATTTTCCACAGCAAGGCCTCCATGTGGCCTGGCCCATGGCAGTGGGAGATAGGAGGAAAGAAAGAGAACAGCAAAGAAGCTCATTCCTCTACGTACACTTTCCCTGGAATTTGGAGCAGGAACTCTGACTTATATGGGACATTTTATACAGAAGGAGTGAATATATGGAGGAGCAAATAAAATGTAAATAATACAAAGTGCATATACAGAGTGGTGACTATATGGAGAAGTGAATAAAATTCTACAATTCAAGGGCATCTGAGTGTGCCTGGTGCATGACTGACAATCCTGCAAGCTGGCCCCCTCCCCAAGGGCCATCCCGAAGAAGGCTGAATAAGAGAGTCTGCCCACAATAGCATAAGCTGTCCCCCTCAGGGGAAGCCTTTCATCTGTCCCTTCCCAGCTGGGCTGGCCTCGGCTCTACAGCAAAAGTTTTGACCCATTTCCATAGGGTCCTCCCCACTGTACCCGGGAGATGATGCAGCCAGGAAGCAGAAGTAAAGAGGACCCTATTCCCAAAGGGAGGAAAAAGCAAGGTGAAAGAGGAGCCTGGGCAGTGCCTGAGAGGCCCAGGACAAGGTAACCACGCTCCTTTGCTTGAACCAGCCCCCATCATGCTACCTAGTGAGAGTGAGGGGCTGTGTCCCACCAGAAACTCCCATGGAGGCCACAGAGGAGAGCCCAGGGGATGAGGCAAGAGGAGGAAGGCAGCAGACTGCACAAATTCAACCTCCCCAGGAGGAGTCCCAGGGCTGCTGTGAACTCCAAAAAAAGGAGGAAATGCTGAAGAATCAGCCAGACTCTTAAAACCCCAGATGTCTTTATCTCCAGGCAGGAGCGTCCAATGCACGGAAGTAACAAGCTTTGTTTCCACACAAACACTTGCAGTCACCCTCAACAGAAGCCCTCCACCAGGCAGCCCTCAGGAGACCTGTGGGTCTATTTGCCTGGGATCAGGCCAGGGTCAACTGGAGCAGAACACTCTCTCCACCTTTGCTAATTCTGCTTTGGAACTGGTACGTCATGGTTACTATTCCCATGTGAGCTCTCCCTGCACTGGGGCCCTGCCAAGCACTTAAAATATTCTGTCTCCAACTCTATAGATAGTGTGAACATGTGCAGCGAGAAGCTAAAAGATGGAATGTTTTCTCAGGGCAGCAGTCAGGCCTTCTTGCCCCATGGCATATTGAAGGTGCTTAAGAGGTAGACAACGAACAAATGAATCCACCATCACTCTGGCCAGTCTTCACTCTGCAGTTTCCTGACCCTCATTCCTGCTGAACGGAACATACACATTCCGCAGCTATGACCTGTGGATTCGACAAACAGAAAGCATCTGCACCAAGAACACGCTACCCCATTTGACTCCTCCAAGAATCTGGGGCAGCAGGAACACCATCGTAGTAGCTTTTTAGAGCCTTTGTCTGTGATCACAAGCTCCACTCAGGAGAAGCAGGTGAGAAAATCGCACTCCAGGGAGACTGAGGAAGTGAGGAAGTGGCATTTACACTGACTACGCTGCTCCTCAGCCCTGCAAGCAGCCAGGAAAATCTTCCAAGGAACTGTGTCCACAGCTGAGAAAAGTGGACAGACCAACTAAGCACTCAGCTGGTCTGTGGTCAGGCTACAGCTGCACCAGCTCTGGATTTCAGGCAGTTTTGTTTTTCCTGATGATCATTTTTCAGTGCAGCTTGTTCAGAAAGGGAAGCAAATGCAAGCTGGTCTCCATGTTAGATGAGATCATCATGCATATGGGAGCAGCATTGGTTTAACAGGTTTCCGGAACCTACTAGAGTTACACATTTTAGGCAAAACGCCTTTAGAAATAAACTAGACTATTTCTTCTCCATGCTGTCCTCAGATTCAGTGGAACTATATTCCTGTTCTAGGTCTTTTCTAAAGGCCTCAGAAGACAAATCAACTATTTTTTCTGCTACTATCTTTTCACTGTGTATTCTTTTTCATTTTATGAAAGTTTCTTTTTCCTTTTTTAAAAAAATTAAGTTGGGGCTTCACTCTGTTGCTCAGGCTGGAATACAGTGACATGAGCACAGCTCACCACAGCCTCAAACTTCAGGGCTCAGGAAATGCTTCCACCTCAGCCTCTTGTGTAGCTGGGACTGCAGGTGCATGCCACCATGCCTGGCTAATTTATTTTACTTTTTTTAGAGGTGAGTTCTCACTATGTTGCCCAGGCTGGTCTTGAATTACTTAGTTCAAGCAATCCTCCTGCCTCGGCCTCCCAAAGTGCTGGAATTACAGATGTGAGCCACCATGCCCAGTCATACTGACCGTTCTCAAAGGATCTAAAGGTATTATGAGTCTGTGAATTCCAAAAAATGGAGATTTAACCCATCTCTTCAACATGCAACTGATGCAAGATGAGTTTTGGGAGTTTCACGGATGAAACTGTGTACCCTGCTCTGCAGTCCTCGTGGATAGTGAGTCATAAACTGTTCGAATGGAGGCCCCAGAACTCCACACCTGCCTGATGGAAGATGCTGCCCAGAGCATCATTTCCCAGCTCTGTTTCCAGGTCTCCTTCTCTTCCATCTGGCAGGTGGGAGGGTGAAGCTCAGCCCCCATATGACTGTGCCATGAACTTGTGCTCAGGAGGCCTCCAATAAGCCTAGAAGGAGGGACTCTATTTTTCCCTTGCAAGCAGAGTAGATGTGACTGCTCCCCAACTGTCCTGATGGAATACTCATTCTACCTTATCCTGCCAGCTCTTCTGCCTAAAGTCAGGTTGATGGAATGCACTTTGGTTGGAGGGGTTGGTGGGCAGCCTGCCACCCTGTAGAAGGAGACACATATCCACCTGATTAAATACCTTTCACATAGATGGATGCCTAGTGAAGGTCAAAAACAAAGCCACAAAATCACTGTACCAAAGCTAGTCAACACTGAGAAGAGGGTCTCTGTCTGCAGTGTGTCTCTGGACTTCAGAAAGCAGTTCCCCATATCCACAAACGCTGGTCACATCTGTCCCTGCCTAGGAACTGTGGACCCTTTTGTCTCTGAGGTGCCATTTTGATTCCCTCCCCCCCCCCCCCC